GATGCTTGGATGCTTTAGAGTTATTAAGTTACCGATAATTTTATTTATTTTAAATTAAATAACAAATTAAAAAGAAATTATAAAGATAATTTTTACTATGTATAAAATAACTAATTAAATAAGTTAGCGAATTACTTAAAAAATATTGTAAACTAAAAAAAATTATGGAAGATGTTCAAAATGTATTTTTATTTATTTATTTTAAGTAAATTAATATAATTTTTTACGGTAAAAATTTTTAAAAATAAAAATAAATTTCTTTCTTCATCTATGATGTGGCCATTTGTAGTAATTCGAGTTAAATTTTTTTTTCAATTTTAATAAGAAAAAAAGGAAAGACGAAAGAACTATTCCCAACATCTAATTTCACGAAAGATAAAACAATGTCGGTGTTTAATTGTTTTCTCTTTTTAACCTATTCTCTTTGGCATAAAGTCAAAAATATTTTTTGAAATTTCATGTTCTTTTCCGAAAGGAAATCTCTTCCTTTTCGTGATGGATGCCCGCGTCTTATTTCATTAAATATTTGTTATAATTTTTTCTTCTGGTAAGGAGAAGAAACACAATATTAGGAAGTGCCGAACGTGCTTATATCAATAAAGGAAATTACCAACGTACTACTATAAAGGATATCTGATAACTTAATGGGTCAACGAGGTTTGATGTCTGAATAATGGGCCAAGTCCGAATAGCATCAGTTATTAGTCAGCAGAGAGAAGAGAGAGGATGTTGCAGGAAACAAATGACAATAACAATTACATTAAATTGTCATAACATTGATTTCTTAGTTAAAGAGTTTTCGAAGTACAACTTTCCCTATTTTCCTATTCCTGTAGAATTGATAAAAATTACTTTTAATAGAAGGAAAAAGCTAATTTTGCCCGAATAGATTCTAAAGTGTCATGGTCTCCCTCTAGCCACACGCAAATTCGAAACAAAAACTCCTTTCGGTAATTATACAGTTATGATGTATTTCGCTCGGTGATTATCCGTAAGAAAAGTCAGTAGGCTCTTAAGACAAGCGAGAGATTAATTAGATCTAAGTATGAAGTAGAAAGGAATTTTACTTGGGTGGCGGTGAAAGTAGTTGAATTTCCCTTCCCACGTCCTCTGTTCAATTAGTGTCTCTTTCATGGTTAGCAAACAGCAACATCTAATGCCGAATCTGGAAAGGGTCCAAAGCTTTCCATGAATGCACTCTTCTCGATTTTTCCGATTGAAGCAACAGTAATTTATTTAATTAGAAGTAGAGCTAAGATAATTCTCTTTAAAGTTATTATAGTCGGGTTTTTCTATCTTTTAAATATACATTGTTCACTTAAGTAATTATACAGAATTTTTAAATTAAATTAAGATCGAGCCGTTGCTAGGAGTATTTTTATCGACGATCGAATTTGATCTTTTCGATTTTACGAAGCTGGTAACTAGATGTAGAAGCAGTAGTTTCTAGATGAAATCTAGAAACTACTGCTTCTAGATTACATCTAACACCGTTTATATCCAGTAGACTATCTTTAGTCGAGATGATCCGTCAAGCAGGAAAGCGACTGAGATGCGAACGTCTGGCAGTTCGCTATTAGTAGACTTTATTAAAGGAAATGCACTCTCGGTAGAAGCCTACGGTTTTAAGGCAAAACGATTTAAAGTGTAAAGTCAGACTTTGCCCCTGCGAGAGAGAAACATTTATCAGTGTCCTAACACGATTACCTTATAAAGATGTACTTGTCGGAACAAGACTCACCCTCCTCCCTGGATGATTACAGTTTTTTCCCCCTTGCCAAGACAACAAAAAGTGTTCGCGCCAGGGGGTTAACGGAGGGAGAGAAGAAGAGCGATGAGGGAACGGTAGACACTCCGTCAATCAGACTAACTGCAGCTTGATAAATGGAACTGGCAGATTTACTATTAGTTAATACTTGTTGTGTTTTTTAATATATCTCGAAATAAGTAATTAAAATCAAAATGCAAAAGTAGAAAAAATACTTTAATAAAATAAAAAGAAAATAGGAAAAAAAAAGCAATCTGGAGAACAGAATCACCACAAGCAGCTGTCATTCAGTTGTACCATCGACTCATATTCCAAACAAAATCAAATTTTATGTCACCCTCAAGCCAAATTTCTCCACCACTTGTTTCTCACTCTATTTACACAATTCCCGAAACTGAACAGAAATCTTTTAGATACAACGTATTGAAGATGTACTCTGCACTCCTTCAATCTCCAATTGAGCGCATTCCTATTGGAGGAAGTCGACACAGCAACAAGCTCTCGATCCGATCGTTTTTGGCTATTGACCCGTTTCGATGTAAGAGCCAGATTAAACATTTATGTTCTTATAAGAATCTATATCTCTTATAGTTATCGAGTTACTTCGGAATATTATTATTTATTCCAAATGCATTTATATGAATTCATTTGCAGATGCATAAAGTTAAATCATTTCTTATTTATTATACGAAATAAATGTATTAAGATTTTCAAATATAATTACCGGATAAAGATTTCTCGTAAATAAATGTATATTTTTACCAGTTTTATATCGTTAAGTATGAAAATGGTCTTTACAAACCTAACGAAAACGATGATTTGATTGCTTGCGGATGATTTTAAGAGAAGTAAAACAAACACTTTTATTATGTCATCAGTATAAATATTTGGAGACGATCCAAATCGCAATTTTGATCACTTCTGCCTAGAAAGTGGGAATTAATACGTCTCCCCTTTTCCATTAGTCTCTCCTTCACCCCAGTGGATCCCTTCTTATCGTCAGTGCTTCAATTCAGACTCATTTACTGCATGTAGGGAGACTGCTGGAAGCTGTTCGACTTGTTAACTCGGTATGGACAACCCAGATCGGACAGTCAGTTGTTTATCTTGACGGAAGGAGTCTGCAGTTGAGTGTGACACGATGCTTGGACTAGCAGAGGACGAGAGGAAAAAAGAAGATACTATTTGCACCATATGCCCCGAGGAAGTGAATCTGTTAGTCTAAAAGCTACCACAAAACCTCAGCGATTTGTTATTGTGGATTGAACTCTTTTTTATTCTCTCCTTCTCTCTTTCTCACGACCACTTCATAGAAAGTGAAAGCTCCGATCTTACTAAATTCTAAAACGTTTTATAAAAATAAATCAACGATAACGCGCAACAAATGTTTCTCTGCTAATATTTTATTCAATTTTAATTTGAAAAAATCATTAAAAAATTAAAACATCGCAATAATAATTCTATAACATTTGTAAATGCGCCATTTATTTCTCACGCTTTTAGCCGCATTTTTTTCATTTTTAATATAGATAAATTACAATTAAAATAATAATTACGTTAATTAAATTAAATACATCTAATAAATAAAGTTTGAAAATGGTCAGAGAAAAAATCAGTAAAAAGTTGATTAAAAAGCGATTTTCTTTAACTAGTAAACCTAATTTTGTTAATTGACGTTAATACTTTCGAAAAATGGCCTCTAATTGGATACTTTTGAAAAGTATTTTTTAATTAAAAAATAATTTAATAAAAATCAATTAAATAATCCGATTTTTTTTGTAATTTCTATCTATAACTGTTAACTCATTCATGACTGTCCCTACTTAAATTTACATGATCCTTACCAAGAAAGAAACGGCGTTAAAGAAATAGGCCTAAACTTTATAAAATAGTTGTTCATTAGTATAATATATATATATAAAACACTAAAAAATAAAAATATATCCTCAAATATTAAAGTAATTTTACCAATAAGCGAACATATAAATCAGTTTTTAAACAATTTTATAATTCTGATTTCCTATTATAATTGCTAATTTTATAATTACTGGTGAGAAATGAGTGCTTTTATTCGTAACGTGATGCAAGTATAAAAAATAATAATAATAAAATTTTAATTTACTTTTCGTCTTCCTACGTCAAACGTGACGTATTAACGAATTGGCCTATATAAACAAGGCAATTCTGCGAGTTTCTATCACTACTAAAGGCTTTTCTTCATTCGCGTGTTTTAATGACGTCAGCGCTTATGTCATCTCATTTGCATACGTAACGAGTAAACGATAAGTAGAAGCGACATCGCTAGGTAGAGCAAAATCGTCGCCCGGCGATAAGTTAAATGCGGTAAATTTAAGTTTTAATAATTGATAAGCAACAAAAATTGTCGTCGATGGGCAATTCCGTAAGACGGGGGAACGCAATTAGAAAGTGGAGAGGGTTGCGCGCGCGGGACCAACAGGAACTTCTTCCCAGCGTGTATTAAATAAATAAAGCGTCTAATTTAATGTAATAAGCCCTGCCAACATCGAATATCGATTGTAGTTTCATTAAGTCCTCTTCCATTTATTATAAATTCCGTGAGCCGCGTTTATCCGAATTAAATCTGGAAGACGAGCGCTAAGAATTGGGAGGTCGGACAATTTTTATTTACCGATTTTTAAGTCGATTGCGGGCTGAAACGGGCCGAAGTATGCGAGAGGAGAGCCGCAAACTCAACTAGACGCGCAGCATCCGGGCATCGACGACAATAATCACGCCTAACAAACAGCTTTGTCCTAACCTTATTTGAGTCTCTTGGCGATTCATGTATTCAGTAATCGCACCAATACAGCATCTACTTTTTTTCTCTCTCTCTCTCGGCCGGGTCTACTGCTCTGCGAGGGTCCAGAGGCACCCCGAGAGGGAGACGGATTAAGGCAAAGATAATTATGTCGTCGATATAACGAGGGGGACTGCTTAAATCGAATCAAGGCACTGACTTTCAATAACCGGGACGGCCCAAATTAAATCAAGACGAAGCGCCAGCAAGGTGAGAATGTAGCCACCCGAACTGCCGGCCCTTTGCCTTTCGCTCTTAATACAACCGGATTAGGACCATGACTCGAATTTTCACTTTTGTTCTCTGTTTTGTTTAGATTATTACCAGTTCGAATGCTCTTCAGAAATGCTACTCGAGGTGGCCAGCGCTTTCGTCGCGTTCGGATGGGGGTTCCGCCTTGGACCGTTTTGGGGTTCGAATAGTCCAGAGCGGGAAACGGGCCGGTCCGCTCCCGAAACGACCGATAGGAAGGTGGGACTGAAACAAAAGCCGGTGATTGCCATCCCGCCGAACGAGGGCGCTGCCGGCGGCGTTTGTCAAAGCGAGCGTGCGCTCTTTCCACTCTCGACTCTCCTAATCAGATTAGAGGGCAGAGAGATCGGGCAGAGCACAGCTTTGTATAAAACTCCGGGGCGTCCTCGGGCCTGCGGCAATCACCGCCTGGCTCGTGGTTCAGGTGCTCCTCCCGACTGGGACCGTCCGGGTCAGAGGTCATGGAAGAGCTGACGGAATTCGTATCGAAATCGTTCAATCCCGAACGCGGATTGACGTCTGTTAGCTCACCTTTGCCACACCTGTTATCGGCTTCGTCCAGAGGTGCTGCGGGTTCCAGATCACTTCATAGTGTGGTGGACAGACTGGCTGCTCCTCATCTTCTTTCCCCTAATCCACTTCGAGTCACCGGTTCGCCCGTCTCTTCACCTCTGGTATTGCCTCCTCGACCCCAAAGTGAGGATACGTCTTCTTCCGAAGGGACGGCTCTGGACAGACAGGAAGAGCGGCTGAGAGGTAGGTAGACAAGCACCTCCGCCTCTCTTCTAACTCTTTGCCATCATCCCTCGTCCTTTAAAATATCTTTAATCAGTCAGTTTATAAGTAAATTGAAATTGAATTTAGAATGTATTCACCTTCGTTAATTAATATGCTTAAATCGCGCGTTTGGTTAGGATATTCATCGCGAGTTTATAACATTAAGATGCAGTAAGATGAATATGGGCAGATGTGTTTAGCAGAAGAGTAAAATACAACTGGCCAGCGGATTACCAAATAAAACTTTATCCGGAGGTAATCGAGTGCAAATAGTTGATGCTCATCATCCCTGCAGCGATACAATTCAAACGCGACCATTCCGATTAGCTCCATATTCTTTTAATTCGGAAGTGAATCATCACTTCATCCGAAATAATTCAATAAATCTTCCGTCGTCCTAATTTCGCGCAAGATTCGACGGGTTAAATTAAGGAAAGACGACAATCGTTAAGGTTTTATCGACGACTTGGCGATAAAAAGAACAAGAGGCGATTTATCGCTTGTGCCGTCACCAATCTGAAATTAAGTTATGGTTATAATGACAAAAGGAAGGTAGAGATGGAGTGGACAGCGAGAGAAGGCAAATATTTGCTCGCCAGACTTGTAAAAGAGAAAAACATCGGAACTAGCTTTGCCTATTTAAACATTAATTTTTAATAACCGAATTATTTATTCATTTCTGTCAAATTCCGGAGCGTAGTGAAGGAAACGCAAATATTCGTCCCTTTTAGCTACACAAGTAGCAAAGAACGGCATCGAGAAAGTTACACCGAAAACTTCGCTGCGGTTTTAATCTGTCAGAAATAGTCTCACCTTGTTTTCTTTGTTTTTGCTTCGTCGATGGACGATTTATGAACGAGAGAAAAATATCGGTAAACAAGAAGTGATTTGCTTGAGAGAATGGGAGACGTCGGAGATTTGCTTTCAATTCTTACAAATTGAAGACAAGTTAAATGATGGTCCCTGCAGATTCGTCTGGTGCGAAAGCTGGGATTAATGCTGTGGAGACAGATTGGAAGGGGTCGGTATCGGCCATGAGGCTATCTGCATGCGCCGCAAAGATCGAGCGTCGCTGTGGAAATTATGTTACATTTGTCATCGGAATCGTTGTCTCCGGACCATTTTGAATCATTTCTATCCTTCAAACCATTTGACTTTTGCGTTTAGAGAAATTGGAAAATGCGTGTTCCCATTTAGACACGAAGAAAGAAGATCTATGTGTGTTGAGACATAACCGTTACATTTGCCTGAGTGCCGGCGACGTGTGTCACACCACATTTCCATTATGCACCAAAAAATTTCTCCCCCTCTTCTCTCCTAATGGAGCGGACGCTTCCGTTCCTCGGAACCTCTCGCAACGGGGAAACGGAATCGGGACGAGAGTGGCACAAATTCGGAAGGACACGATAGGGGAGAAGAGGAAGGGATGCGGAGAAAAGCCCCTTAACGCCGACCTGTTTCCTACCTCACCTGGTGGTGCTCCTGTCACAAGCAATTGGCCTAGGCCGGTCTCTAAGTGCCGCCAGTTGAAAGAATTAATAAGTGCTGTATGCAAACGTCCAAACGTCAGAGCGTCTGTCGGCAATTGGCGCAGGCAAGTTTTCTTCCAAACCGTTCTCGCTCGAGTTGGATATTCGACTCGGCTGCCAACCAGACTGATTATATTTACACTCTTTATTATCTAGGTAATATCATTAGGCACAGTTCCCGTCCGTCCTCTCCCGTTAGTGGCCGGCCACGCGTAAAAGACCTATTAGTTAATCTAATGTAATCCAACCGGCTTATGAAACATCTCCGCCATTTTCTTCTTAGTACACACTCGCAATTATTTAAAACTTGCGTAATTAGTATGGCTAATTCTCAATGAGCAGAGCATGCTTTCTGCAATTTTTCGGCTCATTTTATTTCTGTACGCGGATTTATAACTCGTTCGTACACTTACTTAATATAGTATTAACGTAACAGATTTCGTACGATACTAGACATTCGGGAGGATGTGCCTCTCGGGCATTCGAACCCCGCATCGCCGCAGTAATTGGTCTCCACGTGCAAATCACGTGTAACTGGCAGGGTGCCAAGCAGTTGTCGTGTGACGATACGACGGCATAATTAGCACTTAACAGTCATACATATAAGTCATTATTAAGTGCTCTAAACCCAATTACTGAACAGTCAAAGATCCAAACTGCAGATGCCTGGGTACGACAAGCAATCCTGGCATGTTTGTTAAGGCGTGGCGTATTTTTGCTTCCCGTCGGGTGATTAAAAGCGTGGCCATTTGCCAACCTGCCGACTGATTAACATAAAGAGATGTCGTTTATTGCATAGATTAATACAAACAGCTAATACGCCGATGGCCGATGAGTAGGCTTATTTTCCACTCTGGGAAAATGCGGGCCATTTTTAATATCACTCTTAATTCGATCAAACTGCCATTTTTTCTTATTTTTATATTTTACTGTAATTTAATTTTTTTTAAATTATCGTGTAATTGAGATACAAGAGTGAAACTAAGTAATAATGGATAGTTCTTGACGCTTCTTGTTCGGTGTTATAATCATTTCGACCAGTAGGGTCTATATCTTACTGATGAGGTCTAAACCTTATTGATTATTTCTTCACCTTACTGATAAGGTCTATAGAACACATCACAAAGAAAACAATAAACAAATTGTTTATTTTATTCACACTTTATGTACAGTACTTTAATGAATTATTTGTATCGACATTCTTCTGCAAACATTTTACAGCTTTGGACAAGTCGTAACAGTTTTTTAATTTGCTTGATAGAATCAAGCAAATTAAAAAACGAAACGATTTCGATGTACTTAATAGTTTATGCTCATTTCCTCGCCAATTATGATTCTAGAAATGATTAAAACACGGTCGAATCGACAACGTCACTATATAACAATTAAGTTTTCATTCTGTACTCGATCTTTAACATTTCTCAAGATGGACGACCGACCGACACTCGGAGAAGAAAAGTGACATTATTCAAGTTACGCTTCCATTTTCTAGAGATAAACTAATCACGGCCGGCAATTATGGGACGGATAAATCCATTCCATAATTACTCGCAACAAATTGGCTGATCCCGCCAAAAATCGCCCCATTACCGACATAAAAACATATTACACGACAGCCATTAGACTTAATAGAATTACGTATCTATGATAAAATTTACGTACTGTACCTGAATAACCCAGCCTAGAATATTTATGTTTCCCGAATGAGGTTTTGAATAATTGAAGACGAATAAATTATTGCTACTTTTTTTTTTTTATCGATATTTACAGGGTTGGATTATCGAATTTAAGTTGTGCGATGCGCTCGAAAGAATTTAAATGTTTATTAAACCGACGAATTTGAAAAACAGATTTTAGCGTTGCTTTTTTATTACCGAAGTGGAGATCAGTAAAATCAAATATGCTAGAATGACTTTAATAGCAGTTTTAGAGGTTTTTCCGAATAAAATATATATTCGAAAAGTAAAGATAAAAAGATGCACATTCAGACTAAGAATAATATTTCAGGAAAAATTGACTGTTCAATAAAAGATATTTTAAAAAATCTGGATGAAATTTCGAGTTGAAAAGGCAAAGACACGCTACAGCAACTCGAACCGCTGTTATGTATCCCGAAAATAAAAGGAAAAAAATCGATAAAAATATACAAAGCATATTTTCTGTATCTGTAAGTAAATCAACCGGACATTGGCCGGCCATTAGTAAACACAGTCCTTAGAGCATGATGGGCCACCGCTATCCATAAAACAGCAGCCTAATCAGATGATGTCAGTGGTCGCAGTCCCTGCCTCTTCCCTTCCATGATGGGGAGAGACTTCCAGACCAGTGGACGGACGCTCGGTAAAAAAACGATATTTGTTGCCACTGTGACACGTGTCACGTGATTCGATTCATCCCATGTCCAACGTTACGACGTCTCTAACTGCATCACTTCTCTTGCATTTAGGCCTATATCGACTATTAAAAAATCTTTTGACCATCTACTCGTTCATCTATTGCGTTTTATATCTTTAGCCTTTAACAAACTACAGTCTAGGGCTTCTTCTTATTTGAAAAATAATAAAATTTTCGCATTTCAACTTCATTATCCAATTTTTAATTAACTTTTCTCTTCGACTATTAATTTATTAATCGTTTTATATGCAGACAATATGAAATTCTTCGTGACTATCAATTCGCTTCCGGAATTTTTGTAATTTAAAAGACCTCGGCTCTGTTTACAATTGATAACTGATACTTTTATTCCACTATATTTTAAATATATATTATTTTTGCGATAGATTATTAGCTATAATTCTGTATTTGATATAAACGTCGATTTTAGTAATAATAATTGCGCTTTACGCGCGCAATGGATTTGTATTAGATTAAATAAGCTTAAATTAATTTTCCTTCCAACCAGGTTTTATTTATAACTTTTTAAGTTCTTTTAACAATTAAAATTTATTATAGAATTTTATTTGGTCAGTTTTGACTCGGTTAAAATGTATCGGCGTATCTTAAACCATCACAAATATTACAATATTATTATTTGGAAACAGTTAATGTGTGTATATATATATATATAGGTTTATATATATATATATATATTAACTGTTAATATATATATATACATTAACTGTATATATATATATATATAATTTGATAATCTTAAAAAATAATAAAATAAGAATTAATTTTAAGTTAAGTACAAACTGAAGTTTAACTTAAAGGAACAATTAGAATTATATTTTTCTAACTTCAGATACAAGCCCTTAAATGATTATCTTCTAGAATCTAAAGACCAAAGCTTTCTCCTAATTTAAAAGAAGTTTTTACTGAATGTTTTGTTTTCTTAAGTATATTTATATTTAAAGAAAACCGATATAACTTTAATATGTTCAACATTTTAAGCAATTTAGTTCGTTACAGCGTATAGGCCTATACGTTTAATTCTTTTATCAGAATTTC